TTTTATTATCTTATAATATAGGAATTTTCTATCTAAAGTATATTTATTATATTTTTTTACTATTAATTTATATAAAAAATAAAAATTAACTTAAATTTTATTAATTATTTGATTAAATAAAATTTATTTTTATAATTTTTCATACTAATTAATAATAAAAAATATAATAACATGCACAATAAGTTAGAAAAATCGTATATTATACTAATCAATTTACACTGTGTAAATTTATAAGCCACTTGATCCGGGGCTTGGAAATCAACTTTATTCAGTTCTCGGATCATAATAAAGAGATAGCATTTTCTATTTATAATAATATCATTAAACTTCGATTAATTTAGAAAATTGATTAAACTTCAATCAACTTAGAAAATTGGTTAAACCTTATATGTAAGCCTTATTTTATGGAGTTTGTTATTTTTAATTTCTCATCTTACACAATAAAAACTTTAGTTAAATTTTTAATTTGATCCCTAAATTATTACATAGACTTTTGATTTGGTCCATAAACTAAAAAAATCTCTGATTTGGTCCTTGAACTATTTTACATACCCTTAATTTGGTCCTTATTGTTTACCAATTTATCCCAAGTTAATTCTTTTATACAAAAAATAGCTAACGTATCTGTTACTTAACAGCAAAAAATAGTAACTTAATTATCATATTTCACCTTAATAACAAGATACGTTAGTTGGTTTTTGTATGGAATGATCAATTTGGAGTAAATTGGTAAACAGTAGAAACCAAATCGAGGGGTTCATACAATAGTTTAGGGATCAAATAGGGATTTTTTAAATTTAGGGACTAAATTGGGGTTCACACAATAGTTTAAGGACCAAATTGAAGATTTAACATAAAACTTTTAATCTTTAAATTTAAAAATTTGAAGATTTTAGCTTATGAACTAATAAAAGTTGTTAAATCTCTGTTAAGTGAAATTAAAAAAATATATAAGATCAATTTTCAAAATTTAGAAAAATAACAATCTAGTTTCAAAAGTTTTTAAAATAAATTAATAAACTAAAAGTTTTTTAAACGAGATTATCACTTTTTTATGCTTAGGAGACTAATTTTATAATTTTTTAAATTTCACTTAAGTGGAGAGTTAACAACTTAGGGGGTAAAATTTTTAAACTTTTAAGTTGAAATGCTAAAAAACCCAATATATAAAGTAAAGAGTTAAAAACAACAAATTTAATAAAATAAGTAGTTAAACATAGACTTTTGTCAAATTTCACCTAACGAAAAATAAAATAAGATGTACTTAAGGATATAAGATGATACTCATTATGTACTAAAATAATTATCATTTTATGATTTTTTTTTAAATTAAGGATTTGAGAATAATTTATATATTTATTTATATTACTTTTAAGAAAAAATTAAAAGATAAAATAAAATTTTTTGTGATAGGATAATTAATTAAAATAAATAATAATAATAAAGTTAAAGTAAAAAAATATTTATCTATTCTAAAAGTAAAAATAAAAATAATTAATTTAAAACAAATATAAAATAAAATAACTACAATTATTTTAAAAACATTAGTACATATCAGTTTTAATTTTAAAAAATAATTGGAGTCTCAACCTACATAAATCTTATTATATTAAATGTTTATATCTACATTTAAGAACCTTTTATATATTTTAATATATCAACATTTAATAAAAGAATTTTTTAAATTTTAGATTAAATTTTAATTAAATAAAATAAAATAATTTAATATTAAAACTCTAATTATTTTTAAAAGTTGAGATTAATACTATTTTAAAACAAAAAAATAATTTATTTAAGAAGAGGTAATACAAATAGCTACTATTTTTATACTTAATTTTAGGGAAACGAAAGGAAATAGAGAATGAAAGGATACAAGTACAACATCTTCCATTTCTCTCTTCTTTTCTTATTTGATAAACCCTCATTCATTCCAAGTCTTTTATTAATAAAATAGAAAAATTTTCACATCTTCTCTTTCTTCAAACTAAGAGCTCCTTTGCCGAATCTAACCATGGGAATGGATACCCACCCCATAAATTTAACACGTAATTTTCGGCTCACGAAATCTAGTTTTCTAAAAATATAAGGAAATGGATAAAAATAGTTGCTTTGATAAAATTAGCACCAATACTTTGCCTTTATTTTTTTCTTCTACTTTTAATAAAGAAATGGCTCGCCAATTTATTCTCCTTTTATATTTAAGTTTCTTAGAGCACAAGTTAAAATTATAATTATTATATTTTTTTATATCAATTATTATTAAAAAAATATATAAAATTATCATTAATTTTATTATTATTATCCTATAGATCATTTTAAGTATATAGTTATTTAAATAAAAATTAATTTTTATATTTTTAATAATAATTAATAAAAATAATATAATAATTACACTTTTAATTTAAGCAGATGATATAGATACAATATTTTTATATATCAATCAATAAGTGAATACATTTAATATCATAAATTTCAAATGAATGAAAAAAATTAATTAATTAAATAACATATCATTAAAAAATAATATAAAAAAATTATTTCAAATTCATTTTCCCTCACCTTATACTCTTAGCCTACAAGTTAAAAAAAAAAAAAACCCTTTATGTTTTCCAAATCATTTGCTTCCTCAGAGACTTTATTTATTGATTTATTTATTTTTTTACGAGAAAGTCCAAGGAGCAAAAAACAGAAGAACATCAACGAAGCAACACACACATACACACAAGAAGGCCTGTAATTCAGACTCGTCGCGTCTCCGGCTCCGATCGCACTCCTCCGCTGCTCCCAAATTTTCCGGCCAATCTCCATTAACTGGAACTAGAAATAAGGGAGACGAGAGCCGTGCCGATTACTCACTTGCTCCCGTTCGCCCTGCTATTGCCGCCACTTCCTTCTCAACCTTCGAAACAAAATCCAACGATATAGAGGGAGAAGAAGAAGAAGAAGGCGAGGCATGGGGGATCTCTACACATGGCTCATTTCATTTTTCATCCTCATAGCACTCCTCGTCATCGTCGTTTTCCAGGTCAATTTCCCTCAAAAACCCTAAAATCTCTCCCCTCTATTACGATTTGCATTTTGTAGTAATTGGCCTTTTCTTTTATCTCTCAACCTTTTTCTTTCGCTAAATTTCTTCATTTTGCTGTTGAATTTGTTGAGATGAATTGTTCAGAGTGAGTTCTTAGAAGTAATAATCAACAACTCGATGCTATTTTTTTAAGTGCTGATACTTTGGATGCTGAATTTTGTGCAATATGATAAATTTGTTGCAGCTTATGTGCTTGGCTGATCTAGAATTTGATTATATCAATCCTTACGATTCTTCATCAAGGATAAACAGGGTGGTCATGCCGGAATTTGTCACACAAGCAGCTTTGTGCTTGTTCCATCTTGTAACAGGACACTGGGTTATGTCATTGATATGTGCTCCATACTTGTACTACAATGTGAGACTGTAAGTTTTGTCTCATCTTACATTCAAATCGTATGAATTGGTTTTCTCTCTTTTTGCAAAACAAACAATACAAGGTGTTTTTGTTGTTGGTTTTACCAGCTTTGGTCGAAACCCATCTGGTTTTCGATTATCATTTTGTTTTGATGTTTCTAATTTCAAAGCTGTGAACTTGTGACAAAGAGAGCTATGACATAAAGTTTGTGCTTCAGGATATAACAAATAGGTATAGGTATTAATTTGCCGGCACTGGGTCTTCTGTTTATAAAAGAGCTTTAGGTTATGCCTCATCTATACTGCTTTGTCTGTCCCACTTTGAATGTTATTTTTATATGCTAAGTCGGATAAATTTATAGAATGATATAATGTTTAAGATGGGAGGCTACTTTATCCTACTTTGAAGAGTCCATTCGAGAGCCATGCACAATGTTTTGTTGCTAAGAGTAAAATAAATTGACTTTTTTCTTTTAATCATTTTGGTAATCCTTTGAGTGTAAAGATGCTTACAATATATGGAGTTCTGTAATTTGATGTGGTTCAATTGGATATGCAACCATGCTTACAATATATGAAGTTCTATAATTTGGTGTGGTTCAATTGGATATGAAATCGTTTATTTATTCCCCCTCTTTTCTTGTGATCAGTTACCAACAAAAACAGCATCTGGTGGATGTCACAGAGATATTTAACTTGCTTCCCTGGGAAAAGAAGCAACGGCTGTTCAAACTGGCATATCTTTTTTTTCTCCTCTTTCTCTCATTGTTCTGGTACATTGTTAATACACCATCTTTTTGTTCCACGAACATGGGTTTTTGTATAGTCTGAAGCTGCTAACACACAGGCATTCTCCACTTGGTTTTATGTGTCTGTTAGGATGATTTACTCTGTTTTGGAAGAAGATGAATGATGGGGAGGCTGGGTTCTAGGCATTCTTGGAAATCATGCCAAAAAGAATTCATTGCTGTAGACTGCTAATCACCACTGATGGTTCGCACTGCTTTGCTGCGTCATTCCAGTTGGTGACTGATATAAGCTTAAATCACAATTTGTATGATTCTGAAATTTTTGTTAATTTTACTGCAAAATATTTTGAGGCTTTTTAGTGTTATTTTAGGCATTCATTCAGGTTGTCTTCCCTTCTGTTTAATCTATCTTGCTCTTGATGTATAAAAATTTTCAACGAGACTTGTTATAGCTGATGCTTGGATTCAGACTTGGTTTCCTTGAAGCAGGGTTAAATCACTTGCTTGGCTTGGTCGAAACCTATTATTCACTGTTGTACTACTGAACGAAACCATCTTCATTCATTTCTTAAGTTTCAAATGAGATTCCGGGTTAAGCATTATTCTGATTTGGAATTGGAAGTCGTTTTGGTTCAAGTATTGGCTTTTCTTTTCTTTGCAAGAAATTTCCCCTACAACACATTTTACAAAGAGAAAAAGTAAAATCTTGACCGTTTAGAAATGGTATTATATAATTTAAATTATATTAAATTGTACAAAACTTATTATTAAATGTGGATAAATCCAAACGGTGGCTTAACGATAGTTAAGAATTTAAGATTCTAGTAGAAGGTTTTAAATTTGAGTTTTGAATTGAGTGAGAAGAGATTTGAGAATAGAAAATGGTTATCTTTTAGATTTATTAATATTAAGGTCATTTTTTTATTTAATTATTATTATTTTGTAATTAATTTAGTGTAATTTAAATTATAAAATAAACTATTCTTAAATTTGAGATTGTAGATGAAACATGAATGGGTCAATGGAATTGGAAATATTGATAATTTCTTGTTTCAAACAAAGAAATTGTTTTGAAACATGGACAGCACAATATGGAACTATTTTTTCAAAAAAAAAAAAAGAAGAAAAAAAAAAAACCAAAACCCAACTTAACTGGCGCAGTTCGAACCCTAGTAATAGAAGTATGTGTAGCGGTTCAAAAGATTACCTTCCTTTATTTTTATTTTATTTCATCCACCCACGAGCACCGAACTCACTTCACCTTCCTTTCTGGGAGTCCCAATAACATCTGCGATGGCAGTCTGTCTTAACACAAACCTGCGTCACCCTTCAATCCGGTTCGCTCTATCTCTTCTCTCTGAATTCTGCGTATATCGTCCATGTATCTAACATGGGTATTTCTTCTTTTCTGTTTTCTGGCAGTTGCGAGGCCAAACCTTACCTTGCATCGAAGCTTCAATCTCCATGTCAGTTCTTCTTCCTCACTCTATTCCTACTTTTTTTTTTTTTTTTTTTGGGTTCCTTTCTCTCCTTTTGCCCCTTGAAAATTCACTCTGAATTTTGATTTTTTTTTTTAATTTTTAAGTTTTGTTGGGGATTGGGAGACCAAGCTTGAATGCACAATTCTATGGCAGCGTTCGTAAGAGCCTCCAGTGCGGGTAATTATCTGTGTTTATGTTCTTAGTTTGTAATTTGTATTGAAATTCATTTGTTTAGTTTCTTATGTTGCGTATGGTCTGAAAGGGCGGTTGTAAAACATTAATAGTTTGCTGTTGCTATTTAATTTGATTAGTGTGGGTGTTATGCAATTTACAAAATGAATAATTATCTTAAAATTAAATCCTTTTTATGTTTAATTTGAAATGGGGTTCTCTTTCGTTCAATTTGGAGGTAGTTTGGGGGAAGAGTTGTATTTTGAGTAATCTACGACTCAATTTACCCTTTGGCTGTTTCTTCTTCCAGAAAAATGTGTGCCTTTACATCTCTATCTTTGATTATTGCCATGATGATTGTTGTATACCACATCCAGCTTATACTTGAAAGTGCATTTTCTGCAAAGGAAGATAAAATGTTCAATGACTTCAATCTGAACTTGTCTGTTGAATACAGATAATATGTGACTGCGTTATCTTCAAATTTTCAATTAGTTATTATGCTGGCTGAGTGTCATGTGGTTCTATGTTTGCAGGACTCATAATGATAATCCAACAAGATCCCGTATCACAATGATGCCCATAGGCACGCCAAGAGTGCCATATAGAACTCCTGGCGAAGGAACTACGCAATGGGTTGATATATGGAATGCCCTTGTAAGTTATCATGACTAGTTTTATATCATTTGGAATGGAAAACCTAGTTTATTGTTAGAAGATTCTAGCATGCATAAAGGGTTACTCCTTTTTCATGTATCTCCACCTTGGAGTTGATGCTAACTATTGTTTGCTATATCAGTAAGTTCTGTTTAATCTCCTTCCTGCTTTAATATTTTTGTGGCTTCTAGAAGCTAAAGAAATACATATGATGCAGTACCGAGAGCGTATTATCTTCATTGGGCAGCATATGGATGAAGCATATAGCAATCAAATTTTGGGAACAATGTTGTACCTCGATAGTATTGAAGATTCCAAAAGGCTTCACTTTTTCATTTGTAGTCCTGGTGGAGATGTGAGTTCTTTGTTTTAGGCTCCACCTTTTTACTGTTTCGTTGCTTCATTGCTAAGAAGTTGCATTCTTTTGCAGCTTACTCCAAGCCTGGCAATCTATGACACAATGCAGAGCTTGAAGAGTCCTTCAACCATGTTCTGTGTGGGTTATGCCTATAATCTAGCAGGTTTCCTTGTTGCAGCTGGAGAAAAGGTATTGCTCTCTCCACTCTAAATTTGAAAGCTATGATTTCATGTGGCATAGTGCAATTTACAAAAGTATATGGTATGGTTGGCCTGATGGTATGTTGAGATGCTTGGTCCTGCTCCTTTTCTGTGCTCAATGTTTTGTAATCCATTGGGTTTAATGTGATTGGATGGATTGCTGGACTTTTCTCTGGTTTAGCTGATATTTCTACGTTTTTCATTTAATAGCTAAACTTTGAATCTTCGCTCATTTCCTTTTCCACTAAACATAGGGCCATCGCCTTGCAATGCCTCTTGCGAGAATTGCCCTACAGTCTCCAGCTGGGGTAGCTCGTGGTCAGGTACATATATGCAATCATATAAAAATATGCACTCTTTCACCTACCTTGATACTCTACGTTACTGACTTTGGTAGTGATCATGCAAACATTGACAGGCTGATGACGTTCAAAATGAAGCAAATGAGCTTCTCAGAATCAGAGATTACCTTTATAATGAGTTGGCCAAGAACACAGGTCAACCTGCTGAGAAGGTAAGTTTTCTCGACAGTGACTTGCCTTTTCACTTCATATCTTGTTCTCAGTCATTTAAATATTTGTTACTACGTACTAGCCTGAATTAGCATGGTCTTGTATCTATGTGGAAGTGCAGATTTACGAGGACTTGAGTAGGATCAAACGCTTTAGTGCTCAAGAAGCTCTTGAATATGGACTCATTGATCGTATAGTCAGGCCTAGTCGTATTAAGCCAGATGCACCTCGCAAAAGTGCAGATACAATTCTTGGTTAGGTTTTCTGTTTCCGCTCCTCAATTAGCAGTACTACATGTTTGTATGTTTTCTCAACTCTAAGTTTGTTTACTTTACATTTATGATTAGTCATTCAACTTACTGATTTAATATAAAAAGATGCTTTTGTGAAGTTAATATTGACCTGAAAGTTCGCCCTAAGTTCAGTTGAAACCCTCAAAACCCTTCTTCTGAATCATGGTTTTTCCCCCTACTTTGGCTGTGAATTTTGTGGATTATCAGAATGGTGGGAAAAGTAATCTAGTGGTTAAACTCAAACAAAAAGGAAACTGAAATCATACACACAACATCATGTACGTAATTCTTATGGTCCCTGATATTGGACACATCAATAAAAAGCCCCCGGAAGAAAAACAGTGGTGGGTTATTCAGGGCTTGCTTAATTATTAGGAGACAGGGAACCCTTTGCCAATTACTTTGTGAGCCTTCCTACAATCCTGCATCAACCTCTCTTCCCTCCATCCTTCATTGACCTTAGCAATGAAGTCTTCAATCCTTCTCGCAAGATTCTCATCATATTCATTTGTGTAATCATCCCAGTCATCGTTGTCATCATCATCCCTACCATTGTCATCATCATCTTCATAATAACCATCAGAAGCACAACCATCACCATCACCTTCATCTTCATCATCTTCTTCCTCGTAGTTTTCCTCCAGAATTGTATTTGCATCATCATAAACACTTCCAACTCCGTAAAAGAAGCAGGAAAACGGCATACCCTTCCCATCTTCATTGACAGCCGACTTGTGGCTTCCGATAATTAAAACAACAATAAGGGTGTTAAACACTAAGAACAATAAACGTGGGCTGAGAGATAACTCACGGTTACGATGTTGTGAAAATGAAGGTGATGATGAAGTTTTCATAACCAGAATGGCCGTCACACAAAGAACTAAAACAACAGGTATCAGCTGCCAGACCAGCTTCATGCAGTATATAAAATCAAAACGATATTGGTTCTCTTAATTTGCTCAGGAGGGTTTGGGAGGATTGTGCTCTCTCTCTCTCTCTCTCTCTCTATATATATATATATATATATATTTGGCCAGTTTGATAGGCATGCGCCGAAGAAAGGAGTTTCAAAGAAATTGCAGTGGCTTTTTTTTTTTTTAATTGATTAATGTCATACCGGGGAAATGACACAGCAACTACGCAAATACAGTTTCTCAAGTAAAAACAAGTTGCAAGTTTCTAGCATAAATAGATTCCTAGATATATTCTTAGCACTTGAACTCCCCATGTAGCCTAGTGGATGGGCCACGTTACTCTTGGAGTAACAGGTGGAGCTCACCCGATTCTAACTTTTGATGCTGCTCTAAAATAGATATTAATTCTTAACAAATGTTTTCCTGGCCAAAAAAGAAGAAGAAGATATATTCTTAGCATTTGTTTGACAAAATGATTCACTGACCATTCCGTGACAATATTTCTTGGCACACTGATTGTAATTTTTATGAGTTCATTTCATATGACGAGAATTATATATATATATATGAATGAGTGTTTATTCGTCTTATTTTTAAAAAATTAAAAAAAAATATTTTAAAATTATATCATTTTAACAAAGTATTAAAGAAAAAAAAAACAAAAAAACTATAATACATGGTTTGAAATTTGAGTGTTTAGTCTTTTTTTAATGAGAGTTTAATTATTTATCTATTTATTTTTAATAATTTAAAAAAAAATTATTTTAAAATTATATTATTTTAACAAAATATTAAAGAAAAAAAACAAAAAAACTATAATACATGGTTTGAAATTTGAGTGTTTAGTCTTTTTGTAATGAGAGTTTAATTATTTATCTATTTATTTTTAATAATTAAGATTTATTTATATTTATTAAATATAATTATTTTTTATTTAAAAAATCATGATAAATCTTAATATTAAAAATAAAAAAATTATATTATCAAGATTTTGTATAAATATAATATATAAAATTTATATATAAATAAATTTCTCATCTCTATATACATACTTATTTAATATTATATGATTGTTATGAATAAACAAACCTTTATCAATGAATCACGATTGGATTTGTTTAGTCTAGCAAGACATCACTTAGCTGTTTGAATGGAACCTGAGCACAATCCATCCATTCTTAACCCAACAAATTAAATCAAATCTCATTTTCAGTACATATTATTGACCCTGTCCAATTTCTTAATACAAATTAATGGGAATGTTCCTGTGAATGATTTGAAGACTTAAGGAATGCTGTAGAATATTCGTTATCTTTGACCTCGTTGCCGGTAAGAGGATTAATGTAGAAAACGGTGTCTTTGATTTGGAAGATCAAACTTCTTAACATTTCCTAATCCTAAAAACTCCACCACTTGTTGGTCTCCTTGTCGGCATCTGACATCTACCAAAAACGACCTGACTTTGGGTGTGGATAGGACTAGGATCAGAGTTTTCCGTATGGTACTTTTAAATATAGGTTTTTTTTTTTTTTTTTTCATTTTTTCTTTAATTATTGTACGGATTTCAAATGGATTCTTTTATTAAAATTCATCGTTAATCTATTATTAACTCATAAGATTTAATGACATGTCAAAATTTTAAGATGCGTCAAAATTTGAAGACACGTGAAATGTATAAATGAAAAAAATAATGGCATGTCCAATACAAAAAAAAAAAAAAGGTGGGATCCACCAATATTGCAAATTTTCCCTCATCTTCTCCCTCCGACCTCCTCTTTCTCAAATCTTCTTCTTTTGTTCTTCTTTTTCTCTCTTTGCCTCCTCCGAGTCCATTTTCATCATCATTCTTCATCAATCAATTATTTATTATCATCATCAAATAACAAAACCTACAAACAATAAAAAATCTTTTTAATTTTTTTATTTTTTACACAAAACAAAAAATTTGTTGGGTTTGAACCCAACCGCCGTTGGGTTCCAATGGTCCAAACCCAAGTGTGCTAGGTTTGAACCTAGCAATCATTGTGTTGGAACCCAGGCATGCTGGGTTCAAACCTAGTGGTCGCTACATTCCAAAGGTTGGAACCCACA